CCCCCACAGTCCAATACGACTATTCGTCTGCAATATGGCTATTTTCCCCTTCGAATAAGTAGCCCAAAATGGGAGGACTACTTAAAACAAAAAGTAGCATTTCGTACCTTCTTTCATACTAAATATTGATTTTAAGCTTATTGGTGGGACATACTACATAGCTGTTTTGCTTATATTAATTGAGTATGAAGTTTGCCTTTCATTGGTGTTTTAGGCAGTGTGGATAACAGCCACTCTACCATATGTCATCCTCTTTGTTCTTCTTATCCGTGGATTGACATTGGAGGGTTCGCTGATGGGAATTAAGTACTATCTCAAACCTTCATTCGAAAGACTCAAGTCAATTGAGGTAATACTCCCCTTTAATGTATTACACTAGTTAATTTATATAAATATAATTGGTGCGAAAAATTATATTTCCTGAATTTAACATTTATATTACGCTTTAAATAACACTTTTTTTTAATGATTAGAACATTAATAATAATTATTAATTAATTATTCTTTTGTAATTTTTAGGTGTGGAATGCAGCGGCCTCACAAATTTTCTTTTCACTGGGTCCGGGATTTGGTGTTCTTTTAGCACTTGCCAGCTATAACAAATTTAGAAATAACTGCTATCAGTAAGTAGTACTTCAAAATATTCTTTCTCCATGCTACACTAAATTGCTGGGGGAGGGGTGTTTTTCTTGTGGGCAGTCATGGAGCACTTGAAACGGCCCTGTTTCCATCCGTTTAACCACTTTAAGAGCTCTTAAAGTAGAGTAAGTTTTTTGTAGACTAACTGCTAGTAATCGCAATAAATCCTAATTCGATAACAAATTAGCCAGAAGAGAAAATACGCAGCTTATTTGTACTTTATGGTCATGCTGTAACCTTTATGAAGCTGCATAATAATTCTGTATTTCTCTCAATCTCATACAGTGATGCTATGATAACAAGTTTTATCAACTGCGCTACGAGCTTCCTTTCGGGTTTTGTTGTCTTCTCAGTTCTTGGACATATGTGTTATAGAATGGATCGAACTATGGATACTGTTGCAAATGAAGGTATGTCCTTCCTTCTACCTAAATCAGATATTAATAGCATATTGTGGCACGCCATTCTTTGCCCATTTAGGTCCTAGTTTGGTATTCATAGCCTATCCAGAGGCCATAGCTACTCTTCCAGGTTCAATATTCTGGGCGATAATCTTCATGCTCATGTTAATTACCCTCGGTTTGGATAGTACTGTGAGTTTAATCCTACTTATGACATTTAAGTAACGTTTACTTATCGTCGTTTATTTGATAGTTTGGAGGACTGGAGGCGATAATTACAGGTCTATTAGATAGATGGCCAAAATTGCGAAGAAGAAGAGAGATCGTCGTACTAATCATGATATTCTACTGCTACTTAGGGGCCCTTCCAACCACAACTAATGTATGTTAAGGTTGTGCGTCTTATAAATCATAATTTGATTACCATTTTGGTATTGCATTTTTGCATTCTCAGGGCGGATACTATATACTTACCTTATTTGACACCTATGGGGCACCCTTCTCAATCCTTTTCATCGTATTCTGCGAATCTGTGGCTTTATGCTGGTGCTACGGTAAGAAAATAAAATTACATTGAAATTTTTTCGCAGGGGTCAGTAGATTTTCACGAGATGTCGAATCGATGATTGGCTTCAAACCTGGCTGGTTTTGGAGGATATGTTGGGCCGCTATCAGTCCAGCTTTCATGCTTGTAAGTGAAGTGTCAATTCATAAGCCCTAAAACTCCATATGTCTTCATGATTACTAAATTATGCTACATTTTAGAGTATCTTCATATTGAATATTGCATTCTTTGTGCCCCCGGATATTTCAGTTATGGGGGAGACCATTAAAGCGGAAACGTGGGTTCAAGTTATCTCCTGGCTTTTAGTCTTCTCATCTCTCATACCCATACCGATTTGTGCAATCTTTATGTTCATTCGATCTCGCGGAACCTTTAAAGAGGTAAGCTAATTGTTGAAATAGCACTTGGCTAGTCCCAGTCGGAATGATTAGGATGCCAACTCATTACTATTACTAAACAACCGTTTTTTTGAAATTGACAAAGTGGAAATACGAGAGTTCAGTCACTCCTAGATACCTTGTTCCAGGTTATTTACATAACCAAAGATTCCTTCAACTTGTGATATTTTAAGTATTCATTCTGAAAGAATGCCTGGAAGCGGAGGCATCGAGGAATGCTTTAATGATATAATTTTTTTTGTTACCTAAAGTTTGAGAAAAAAAATTATTAAAGAAGTTAATTTCTTCGCCCAAATGAAACACAAGACGAAGAAGGAACAACAAAGTCACAAAATGTCGAGAGAGGGAACAGAAGAGTGATTCACAAATGTAAAAGAGACAAACAGACAGACAGACACAAAGGTAGAGAAAAGACTAGATGAGTACTGTGGAAGTGGTGGAATATGACATATAGTGGGGTGATGGTAGTTTGAAGTGAGAAGTCAACTGCCAGTTAATAGACTTTTTGCGTATGAGTATACATTGCGTAGGGTGCACCACGTGGAGGTAAGTCTATCGCGCACCCCATTAAAGAAGTTAATTTCTTCGCCCAAATGAAACATAAGACAAATATTTGAGTTGCTCATAAACACTGAATTGTAGGTTCTTTATTTAGTCTTAATTCCAGCACTGACCGCGAAGTCGTAAGATTGACCTAGGAGTTCAGGTCTACCTTTGCCTCGGTCTACGAACGGGTGCATATGATGTTCCACTTCTGCACTAAGACCACGATTCAGTTCCCTGGTGCACTCTTTCTAACGTATTGGGAACTATACAGTAGCACGACATCGGCAGACCCCAACTTTAATTTCAGACACATAACTCAAGCTGTCGTTTCTCAAGCGAGATTTAGCAAGTGGTTCAACACTAATATGCTTAATATCACTTTCTCGGTCACTTGAACGTTAAGTCACCTTTGTGATGTCCTTTTATAGCCAGAACCCAATCCATCTCCTTAGACTTGAATTCGAATTAAGCATGGTGAAGGCAGTCGACCAATTTCTTGATTGTCTTTATTAATTGAAGGAGAGTTGGAGCACTAAACGATTTACTTTTAATACCATTAAATATTAATCAAGATACATCAAAGCATTTAAGCAAACTTATGAATTAATTTTTTTATTTGTCAAATAGAGCGCAATTACTTTACTTTAATAAGCGGCACGCACTGGGTGTGTGTGTTTAGTGCAGCTCAGTGTGTTTAGTGCAGCTCTAATCCTGTCATAAGATCTGTTTTGAAAATCTGATCAAATAAAGTTTCGAAATCCATTTACGAAAAACAAACGAATAATCTTCCTAGGGTTTAGCAAGCTGCAAAAGCCTTTCACAAGTAAGAGAGGACCAATAGTTGACAGAGTCGAGTGTATATAAACAATTGACAGTTATTAAGATGAAAACAAAGAGAAAAAAGGATTTTGCGATTGAAGAAATAAGGGGAGAAATCGTCAGCACCGAAGGAGTGGAAAGCAATACACCCTAAAGAGGACCTATTGGGTTGAGAACTATTTCGCTGAGGAGTCATCGATGATAAACGAACTGGCCGTTAGGACGCGCACTCAAAATTACAAATTTAGAGTTGAGCCAATTCATTAGACGTTTTTGATAGTATTGGGTGGGAAAATGTTTGTCAACGACTCAGTGCAAAGCGCTGATACTCATCTTACCTTTAAGCGTTTTACCAATTGACTACGAATGCAACGGAACTAAAAACATGTCGTTTGAAGAATTGAAGGGTCTAGGTTGCCTATAATTTGTTAAATAAATCGGGTGGGTGGAGATGACAATTTGAAGTAGGAATACAAAGTCAAAATATGAAAATTTAACAGATGATTGATAATCCATTACAACAATATGGTTTCCCTCTAGATCACAGCAACGCTATGTGAGGCGGTTGATCAAATTCATTTTCAATACTCGCTTCTTTAAAGATCGAATTTATATTTAGAGAGATCATTTAATACAAATGAAGGTAATAAATTTAGTTCAAATAATGAAAACAGCCTTTTATTTTCTGATATTTTTTTACTAAATTCTATTTTAACATTGTGATTCCGTTTTTAGCGACTGAAAGCCTTGTTCACCCCTGGAATTCGACCTTCGTTCTCGGACTTCCATGTTCATCCAAATAGCCTCCAAAAACAAACAAAGATCGAACCAACAAAGGAAGTAGAAAATGCGTTTGACGGGACAACAGAAGTGAGACAAGGAAACGAAAGTGACGAGAATCCTTAAGCGGATTAAGCGGTTAATCATTAAATATTGCGTACATTCCTCACCCTCTCCCTCTCTCTCTCTCTCTTTCTTGAACACAAATCACGATTTGAACTAAACTACTATTCTTATCGTCTCTGATGTTAAATACTTTTAAGTCGACAATTTTATGCATACGCCTCCTTTTTCTTCTCATCCCCTCGACCCTGCTGATGTAGATGATTTTTTTGCTTTTCATTTTCTCCTTCCTAGTGTCGCTGTGTTGTATGTAGTAAAAAATATAGAAATTGCCATGGTTTCCCTCCAGCGGAATGTCTTTTGTAACAGGAAATATTTACTTTGAATTACCAAAACAGTCTCTGGATTGGGGTTGTTTCATCACGACCAAACCACTCAATAAAGTCGAGTTCCATCACATTCGACCCCAAGGTGATTTGGGCATGAAAACGAGCACAAACTATGCCGACACTCGTTCAGGAATGCTCGTAGAAATGGAAGCAATCCATTTGGCCTGCCATTTAGATCACTCTTAATCAAATTTAGCAATTATTATTGACCTCGAATTCCCTATTTCCAGCTTTTGAAAGTCTCTAAGTTTTTTGCCAAAAGTATCATCCCAGTTTTGACTGACAAACTTCGATGTGTTTTGGGAAATTCTGATGGACAACCTATTCAAATTCCAGCATCAGCGAAATAAGATAACTCCACGTATTCTTCAAACCGAGCTAGGTTGAGAAGAGGCAAAATTTTTATTTCTATGGCCAAATATTGCGAATTTAAAGCCTTGAATTCTCTTGTTTAAATGATATTATCATATTTATAAAAAAAGGTTGCATGAATAGCACAATTTCCGCTTCTTATTATTTCATTTTAAACTGTGAAACACGTTACGCAGTGTATTACTAGGCCAAGTACCATTTAGAAAGAAAAATTTGCATATTAATTTTCTTGCCCGAGATGTAATTGAAATTGTTGCACACATCTCAAGTTCCTTTCCTCTGAAAATATTTTCTACTAACTGTACTCCTAAGTTACATGGACTGAAGTCAAGACCCAAACCGAATATTTAGTTGATTAGTGTAAGTATACGAAGACCTAACCTGAATCCCTTGTGACACAAGACTGCATATTTTTTACTTAAGAGGGCATCTGTCCTACGGTGAATACAACCAACAGATCACCGTTGCTTTTCATATCGTTTCTAAGACGCTTAATGATCAATATAAGGCGAAATCACGACCTGGTGTTTGTTAATGAGAGGGAGAATCATGTATTGGGTGGATCAGAAATAGTAATTCAGACACTGATTACACCAAGATTGCGTACGCGCTATATGATAAGTTGAATTGGGAGCTATTTGGAAATGGCGACCCAATGATGCTATGCTCCTGGAATGGTTGGCATTTCTAGCAACTTGCTTAAATAAAACGGTCTAAGTGGTTGAATATGGTAGGAGAGTCGAGGATTTGAATTTTCTGAATTTAACAGCATTTAGAAGTAGACAATGGACAGGTCTTCGGGCCTCATTTTAAGCACCTTGAATGCCTATTTTTAATGGTGAGCTGACGTTCATAAATTAGTCCTCAAATTAATTTATATAAATTTTTTTCAACTATTGTTATTTTGTCAGTGGGGAATGTCTGAGCTTATGGTATTTGAAGTAATTCGCAATTTATCTATGAAACACTGCAACAGTTTTAGAGGAACAACAAGTTCGATACGATTATCAGGCTACGAGCTCGCTTGATTTTAGAATCGGTCAAATCTTCCATGGGAATAACACTTCTATTTACTTTAGTAATTTCAGTGTAGTGATAGCTTGTGATAATTATCGATTATTTTTCATTTATCTGAACAGTGATAGCAATATTCGCCGTCTAAATTTAGCCATGATCCAAATTCAAGAAAAAAGTGTATTTAGTCCATAAAGCATCTAATAAGTAGTATTTTAATTTTTCGCTAGAGATAGCTTGAACTTGCACCTGATTGCTATACGAATGGTCTTTGACTTATCCACACAAATTACCAGAAAGACTTCCGAAGTTAACCAAGCCACCTTAATGAAATAGAGAAAACCGAGGTATGATGTGGAATACATTTATTTAGGCTGTTCATTTTGGCATGACACCTAAAAATCAATTATTGTTTTGGGTACGCTGACCTTTTAACGACTATTGACTAACCACTTGCACTCATGTATGTTCATCGGACGGCACAAAAATAAGCCTTAATGAAACCTGAATAATCCTCTCTGTCAAAATATAACCCAAAATAATAGCTGATATTAGTTAGGATATGCCCAAGGTAGCAAGAATACCAAACACACTTAGTAAAGAGTGTTTTTAAGACTTTATAATAATTACCAATAGGCCATTCAATATAATACAAATAGCTGATCGCTAATTTGCATTAAGAGCAGGCACACTGGAAATCAAGCATGACATCAATTAAAGTAGAAGGATATTCCTTCCTTATTTCTATAAAAATCAGAGTATTTAAGAATATCCCTCACTTGATTGTTTTGAATTGATTGAGATAGGAAAATAATTAGAGCAAAATATTTATTCAAAACTTAAATTTGACAAGTATTGTAAAGATAATTTAAACTATAAAAGTGTGCGTTTCATGCATGAATTTATAAAATATAATACGAGAGGGTTTCATGAAAAACTGTAACCGCTTGTTTGAAGTCATAAATTCTTACGTCCTAATGGATAAGTTTTAGGCGAACGTGAATTTCGCGGGTTTTCAAATTACCACTTTACCCATTTATCGCGCTGAATGTTGAACATTTTATCCACTCTTATACGTCCTGAATATGTGGATTGAAAGTCATTGCATTCAACTTAGCATATTCGCTTTGTTTTGTGCCTACGTGTACTACGCTTTTAACGATCGCGGAAAGTAAATTTTTTCGAATTCTCGTTTCACTATATCTTAAGGGCTCCCATTCGCTTCTGTTCTATTAGTTTTTACTTTTTTCAGTTTAAAAGTCAATTTCTTTAAATTTTTGTTCATATGGTATATACATTTTTTATTTTTTTATTTTACTCAGCCATATCGAATTCAAACTTGTTCAAGTTCAAACCTTCTTTCGCCATGGTGCTAGAACACCTATTCACTATATAAGAACGCCCCTAACCGAGGTAGCTGATTTTCCTAGTACTTTACTTTGCTTTAAGGCCCATTGGATTCCAGAAACAACTAAGGACCTTCCCGAAATACTTATTCCAGTCAAGCATATAGATATTATTGATGGAACTCCAATTATAGAAAACTTTGAAAAATTTCATGGAAATAAAACTCTTCCTGTAAGTTTCCCAGTTGTTAAGTACATTACAGCTTATACAATTTACTACTACTTTTTACTTTAAATTTCTAATTTAAAGCAAATATACCTTACATGGTTTGAGGCAATATTGTTTGACCTAAGTTATTCTATGACTAGGTCTTTTCATGCATTTATTGCATGAATTTCTAAATTTATAGCACAGAATCCTCTTTGCGCCCTGAGGATGTTATTATATCTTGTTCATTTTTATGTACCTTATGTTCGTTTTCATGATTAATCTAGGTTCTTTTAGAGCATTGAACTAACTAATTTTCCCTTAGAAGGTGTTCATGATACTCAGGTCTCCCGCATGGGAAAATCGCATTATACCACCCTCCTTCCCCCTGTTTAGCATAAATCATTTATTTATTTATATCAAATGACAGGCGTTTTGGTAGTCATCATTAGCCCTTTTGCTGACATCGGGCTTCACAGAGGAGAGGAACCCCAAAGGGAGAAAAAGTAGAGAGGGGGAACAAAGAGTGACTTACAGATGTAAAAGAGGCAGGTAGGCAATAAGGTAAAGAAGAGGTAAGGTGAGTACAGTGAAGTGGTGGAATATGACATGCAGTCAGGTCATGGTAGTTAGAAGCCAGAAGTCAGCTGCCAGTACATAGACTTTTTTGCCGCATGAGTATACGTTGCCCAGGGTGCACCACGTGGAGGTAAGTCTATCGCACCTCCCCCCACAGCTGTTTATCATGAATCTCGTGATATCTCATGGACATTCCTTGAATATATTACTGTTTATACTATTGCTTGCCATTTAAGCACATTTTTAGTAAAATATTCGTTTGGATGATACTTACTAAGGAAAAGAAAGGTTTGCTATTGAATATTTTTTTCATTAATTTGAATATTATGCCGAATGCAAGTTTTATGAATGAAAATCTTCAGTTTTCACAAACCATTTTTCTTACTAGTTTTTTGTTCACCTCAGCATTTAATAATGTCGATAAAAATCTACTGAATATAATGTGATTGAAGCAATGTTAGTGGGGATAAAAATTCAAATGTTATCGCAAATTTTTTGGTCAAAAAATAATTGATACTGTAGATAATATGATCTCATTGCTATTAGCAACGCCTAACCTGGAGACAACTAAATCCCAAACACCTTTTTAGTAGCCTTCTCATTAATTAATAAGTAGAACCTGAAGCTAAGTTTCAGGTGTTTTGAGCTACATTGATCAGCGCCTACCTTGGTAGACAATTTCTTCCATGAAGGTCGCTATGTAATGCAACGATTTTTCACAGTTATGTTTATATTTAAAGAGGCGAAGAGAACACTTTTTCTACATTGAAGAAGCAAATGAGTGCTTAGAAAACCACGACGATGATAAGTGAGGGAGTTAAGCTCAATGCTGGTTAATAAGTGCAATGAGTTAGTTCTTCTAGCACAAAACACCATTAATTGAACTGCTTGAATAGAGCGATCCCCTACGGAGGCAAAATTTTCGGTGTGGGTGCGTGCTATTAGGTAGGATTTCGAAAATGTGGGAAATGTGAACTCAAATTTGTATGTTAAAGTAATCGCAATGAATTTTACTCTCCAGTGGAGTTTTATTTTCATTTGTCATGTGTCTATCATACTTTTTTCCCTCGAAACACGTCATCAATGCATTCAGTTTATAAGCTTATTCTGGGGGGGGGGGGGAGGATTTGTCTGCGAACTTTTTGACTCACCTTCGTAGCTCCATTCAGTGGTTATTAAGTTCTTTCATCCATTCTTTGCATTGTCTTACGGTTTAGGGTGTCCCAATGTTCAATTCTATTGCTTGTCACAGCGTCTTTTTGAATAGCCAAGTTAGCTAAGTGTTTATCCGTGCAACTCCATTTAATCTGCTTGAGATGGCGGACAAAATCAAATGTTACAAAACTTTGCATCGCAGATCTACAAATTCAAATAGCATACTAACTAATAGCGTCTTTCGAACTTCATTGTAGGGAGGAGCGACTGTTGGCGTGCTAACCAAACAGGGTCAGAAGGATTTATACGATCTGGGAGTGCGAATACGCAGGGCATATGCTGGCCCAAGTGGTATTCTCTCAAATCCTCCCAAAATCACAGAAATCGAGTGAGTTTGCATTTAAATTTAAATTTTTAATGCTTTTTAACCACTCCCTGCTTCGCTTCTGAATTTGTGACCTTGAATTGTGCATGACAGTTTCCTGCTAATCGTTTTAAACGTATATATCTGCAATGACTATCGCCATCTTTGCATTCCAACAATTGGTTTTAGAATTTATTAGCGAGCTGATAACTTTGCGCGTCCTTGAACAGATAATCTTATAGTGGGTTAAATTTTGAGACATTCTCGGTGAAGATGGTGCTAACTCTCATTGTGGCAGAAGGTAGAAGCAGCCATTGAAATGAAATTACTCTGATAATCAGATGGTGTCGCTGTCACCAGTGTAGTAAAATTCTTACAAATTGCCAGTCAGCCCTACTGTCTCTCTATTGAAGCAATTACTTTATTTGTGAGCACTCTCAATCTGACGAATAATTTATCCGTGATATGCTTGGTTATCATTTTAAATAGGCAGTCAAACGCTGTGTTCTCTTTATCGGCCTGGTTATTTGAAGAATTTTCTGTGTGAAGGCAGTGTTCTGCCAAAGTGATCTTATCATAATATGGAGCTATTTCAACACTTCTCCAAATAATCAAATTAGCCTGTGAATCTATTGCAACTCACCAGTCTTCCCAATCATCTTTGTGTCTGCGCCTTTGAGAAAAGGTGTTTTTCTGTTAAATTTGACACTCTCATCGAGAAAAAGAAATAGCGTTTGGTAAAAACATTTATTTATATCAAATGGCAGGCGTTTTGATAGTTATCATTAGCTCTTTAGTTGACTTCAGGCCTCGCAGAGGGGAAGGAACATCAAATTGAAAAAAGTCGAGAGGGGGGTACAGAATAGTGTTTCAAAAATGTAAAAGAGTCAGGCACAAAGGTAGAAAACAGGTGAAAGTAGTCGAATATGACATACAATGGGTTGTTGGTAGTTTGAAATGAGAAGTCTACTGCCGGTTAATAGACTTTTTTGCCGTATGA